TGTGACAGCCTGTGCATGATGGTGCCATTTTAAAGCCAAAGGAGGTGACTTAAAAAGTGCCAAGAGGGCGCAATCCTGATTGGGCACAGAGCACCGCAGGATGGTTCAGACCCATGGATGCCAACATGTCTAGTTTGGCCCTTAATCTGCCTGCCTCTCAAAATCAATGTAGTTAACTGTCATCTTTGCTGGGTCTCCTTTCAGTCTCATTTTGTTGTCTCCTGCACCTAGGGTGATTCTCCCCCCCCCCCAACTATCTTTTCATCTCCTCAGAAACACTCAACGCTTTGCATTGTTCAGAGCTTCATTTTGTCAAGTAGTTAGACTGTTCTTGAAGTTTCATTGCTATAACATCCCTTAATTCAATAGAATGTAGATTATTCCTGATCATCTCAAAAATAGGATTGAAAAGACTTTAAAAAACAAAATGATGGAATGGCGATCTCAACAGCCAACTCGCTGGCATCGACAGTGTACCAATATCTTACGACAAATTCTTCCTAAACTGGAATTAAGAAATGGAAGCATTGCTACAGAGAAAGAAGAAACGGATTTGGAGGCTCTTCTGGAACATTATTGGGTTAGCATTTATGTTACTGTATTATTATTGAAACTGCCAATAATGTTAATCCATTAGTAAATGCAACCATAATGCTGATGTCAACATGTAAGAAAATGTAACAGAAATGTAAGTAAACCAGTTTGAGAGCCAGTTTGGTGTAGTGGTTAAGTGCGAGGACTCTAATCTGGGAGAACCGGGTTTGATTCCCCACTCCTCCACTTGCACCTGGCTGGATGACCTTGGGCAAGCCATAGTTCTGATAAGAGCTGTTCTTGAAAAAGAGCAGTTTCTGTCAGAGCTCTCTCAGCCCCACCTACCTCACAGGGCGTCTGTTGTGGGGAGGGGAAGGGAAAGGAGTTTATAAACTGCTCTGAGACTCCTTTGGGTAGTGAAGGGCGGGGTATAAATCCAATCTCCTCTTCTTCTTCTAAATATGTAGATATCTAAACAGATTTTAGCAGAATTTCCTTTACCAGTTTTCAAACCAGCATATAATTAATGAGACAAGTATTCATTTTAACTGGCCCAGGTTTGAACTATAAATAGGTTTTATTCAGGAGGTGGCATCATGAGTTGACATGGTCAGGCTGCTGCTAAAGCCCCGCAAGATCCAGTGCTGACCCCTAGCTACTGGGGCACTACTTTCCCCTGGATGCTCATCTCAGTCAAAGATGCTCCATTGGCATCAATGAAGTTT